CACACACATACACACAAATATACCACATACACACCACACACACACACACACACCACACACATACACACAAATATACCACATACACACCACATCACACACCACACACACACACACACCACACATCACACACCACACACACACACAGAGACACACCACACCCCCCCACACACACACACCCCACACACACACCCCACACATGCGTGCACGTGTGTGAGCTCAATACCTCTCCCAGGAGTCTTACCTTCTGGCGGAGCCTCTGTGGTGCCTGCCCTGATCTCTTCACTTCTAGAATCTTCTGTGCTGCTGCCGCTGGCCAAGGGGGGAGAGGTGACGGGGGGAGGCTGGGGGAGGCTGGGTCTCAGGGCCACGACCTACGGAGGGGAGCGGAAGAGGGTCCTGTGCATGTGCCCAGCAGCCACGGCTCGATGGCGGGCTGGGAATGGCTTCGTGTGGGCGTCCGCAGGTTAGAGAGCCCCGCTGTCCAGGAGGAGGCCGGCCTCTGCAGAGCCCTTGGCTCAGGATGTGGGGTGGTTTCGGCCCCCGGCAGGTCCCCAACCCCAAGCCTCTGCGTTCTGAGCACCAGGGACAGAGGCCCCTCGGTCGTGGGGACCCGGGAGGGCCAGACAGTGCCACACAGCAGTGTTCCGGGGGACCTGTGGCCACACTGGGGAGATGTCCTCCTCAGGGTCACAGCGGGACTATCTGCCTGGCCCAGCCTCCAGCACGGTGCTACCAGGGTAAAGCAGCCTGCTCTGAAGACCACCTCCCTGGTTCCCAGGTGGCTGTGCTACGTCGAGGACACAGACTGGCCGTGGCCAGCAGCCTCCCAGCCATGCTGTGTGGCCTGCCTCCTGGGGACAGCATTGGTGCCGTGGCTCATGGACACAGTGGGCACCCAGCCAACTGCTGGCCCCACAGAGCCCCAGGCCTGTGGGGGGACACCAGGGGCCTCCTGGGACCCTGCCAACTGCTGGCCCCACAGAGGCCCAGGCCTGGGGGGGGGAGACCAGGGGTCCAGGCTCTGTACCTCCTGGGACAGGGCTCAATGTGGCTCCTCTGCTCGGCTGGGCCCCTCAGGAAGCCCCTGTGGCCCCTGCGGGGAGGCATCTCCTGGATGTGCAGTTTAAAACCTGTCTGTTCCCCAGGCCATCTACAAGCTCATGGGCAACAGGAGGCCAAGGGCACCCCAGGCCAGAGGGCGTGACCAGGGCCGGGCCTAGGGCCCCCTCACCAGGGCCAGAGGGCGTGACCAGGGCCGGGCCTAGGGCCCCCTCACCAGGGCCAGAGGGTGT